GGAGTTCGGGTTTAGGGTTTAGGTTTAAGGGGTTTAGGGTTTAGGGTTTTAGGGTTTTAGGGTTTAGGTTGTATGGTGAAGAGTTTGGAATTTAGTGTTTCGGGTGTTTAGACTTTTGAATTTAGTTTTGAGGCTGTTTAGACGAATGTAGGATTTCTCTTTAGGGCTTGGGTCTAAAGTTTAGAATTTAGGATTCAGTGTTTAGGTTTCGAGTTCAGAGTCTACAGGGTGATAGATTTCAAAGGAGGTTATAAGTGTGCTTCAAGGGTCGTATATACACGGCAGTTTATCGGGGGTGTGCAACGGATCTCATGAAGGTTTTGTAGGGCTTTAGGCATGTAACGGCTCCATACTGGTTTTGCAGGAATGTGGGGTTTAGAGGTAAGAGCGTTGGGTATAGGGGTTTAGCCTTTGGGGGACATCTTGCATCAATAGTTGCATCAACCAAGGCAATATGTACGTATCTGAGCACTAGTTGAACCTCCAGACAAGTACTTGGACGAATCATTAACTAAAGTAAGCAATGGATAAACGATGCGATGAAAACCTGGTACTGCATAAATGAGCAAAACATAACTGCATAAATTGGTCTGTATGGAACAGGTGAATCAACAGTTCAGTTCAGAAGCTAGCATAGAGATTTTCTTTTCTTTTCGGGCATCTTGCATCTACAGTTTCCTGTTTTGATTCTACTGTGATTGTTCTTTCAAAGAGTTTGGTAACACCAAGGGGTTCCTATGTTAAGCGTGAAGAGGACGTGATTATAATGTTCCTGCACGTGGCAGCCGCACGCGGCGGTTCTGCAGCTCCGGCTGTGGCACGGTGCACACTTTGGACTGAAATCGCGTCTTTTTCCGCAGTTCCGCTGAGGCCGAGTCCCGCAGAGATGCCGACATCATTGTAAATTCTGCCGGCACAGTCCTGTGGTCAGTTTGGCTCTCGAGCAGCTCGGGGTCGCGAAAGTCCTAGCACGGCCACACTACGCGCCTTCTCGAAGCTCTTTCACATGCTCTCACTCCACGTGCTGTTTTTTGCGGAGTCTCGCCTTCACGCAAAGCCTTTCTTCCTTGCACAGGAAGCCCGCTCCCTCAAACTTGAGCCTGAACTGAGCCACTTGCTCAGAAACTGAGACTTGTAGGCGCGAAGAGGATCATCCCGAACCTGACTCATCCCTTCAGCCAGGCCGGAAGTCTCGGACACAGGAGATAACATTCATAACAATGATGATAAAAAAAGCTGAAAACATCTATGCCTGGATAAACACAATACTGATAGCTGACATCCAGCAAAAACGAATGATCATTTAAATCGAGGAGCCAGTATTTGTAGCCACGGTCATGGCTACGTGAACCCGAACCCACACCCAAGCTCTCAACCAAGAAACTAAACTTAAACCTTCAACATTGAATCTCAAAGGCCTCAAGCGCAATGACTTCAACCCTGTCGCCGAAAGCCCTAAACCCGAAACCCTACATCTCAAGCCCGAGGCGAGCTTCAGCAGCTTCACCCCCCGTCCAGCAGGGCCGGCTTCGGCTTAGCTCTGCAAGAGCCTGGGTTGAGGGGTTAGAGTTTAGGGTTGCCTCTATCTTCTTAGCGATTCACAAGGTTTTCGATGGGTCGGAAAAGCTCCACCAGGAAGGATGTTTTGGGGAGACCGGAAGCAGTGCAGGAAAGTGTCCGTGAGGCTTCTTGTATCTCCAGCTCCAGTGCTTCAGTTTCTTCGTAGATCCCCGAGGAAGATGGTTTGGGGTTCAGGGGTTGGAGTTGTAGGTCCCAGGGAAACCACGTTTGAGAGCAACATCCTGATGCAGTTCTGCAGCACCTTGCGGGAATCTTCAGAGCCCTAAACCCTAAACCTCAAACCCTAAACCCCAAACCCTAAACCCTAAATCCCACTCCGAAATCCCAAGGTTCCAAGCATCTGAACTTTGTCTTGGTTTATGGGTCGTAGAGGCTGACAGAGGCTCACTGTAGGGGTCAGAGACCAGGGTTTTTCGGTGGTACAGGGATTGTGACCCTAAACCCTAAACCCGTGCAGAGGTGTTAGGATGCAGGGTTGGAGGCTTCCCCGCTCTTTTTGGCTCAGAGCCGAATTGCCAGGTGGCGCTGAAAGCCTTCGAGAGCGAGCTTGGAGTGCATCTCGGCACATGCTATAGCAGGTTTGAACAATCAACTTAAGAAAGTGTCTGTATAAGTGTAACCAACTATGATAAATGCGGGCTGATGTCGCATTGGGATGATTACTACAGATAGGTTTTGCAACGTCGGACCTCCAATCGGTTAGATTCGATGGTATAGCTTGAGCTTCCTCCAGCATGCGCCTTTAGAGATGAAGGTACTGCTTCTGAGTGCTTCTGACGCAACGCCCGAAGATCCGAAACCCTAAGCTCTAAGCCTAAGCGGGCCTAAGCCTTAGATTTCAAGATCCGGCAATGCGAATCTCCAAATCCTGATCCAGAAGTCTCGAAGGAAGAGCCAACTTTTGAGGGTAAAACTTTCGTTAAGGGTTTACAGGGTAAGCACCCAGAAAACACCCGGGAGCCTCGGCTCTGAATCTGGTTGCCTGAGTGCCGGCTCAAGTCAAAGGCGGCTTTCCATAGCCCTAGCCCGCAACGCTGGATCATAGACACCCTGACCCTGATCAAATCTAACTAACCCACGAAGCCCTAAACCCTAAACCCCAAACCCGAAACCCTAACAAAAACTGCTTCAAAAGGCAGGATCCCGTGGGCTTCTGGGATCCCGTTGGATTCACTTCCGACGGCCGCCGGGCTACTCTTAGGAGGTCTGTCAGGGTGCCGTATAGTAGAAGTATATAGGGACTACAGAGGGGTACCATGGCGAAAGTGGAGGTCGCTTTGAGTTGGAGTTTACTTTTGTTGACTACTACTTCTCTTGCTAACATTCCTGCTGCTGCTTCAGCTGCCACTACTGCTACTGCTACTGCTGCTGCTGCTGCTACTACTGCTGCTACTGCTACTACTGCTGTTGCTTCTGTTACTGCTGCTGCTTCTGCTACTGCCGCTGCTGCTTCTGCTGCTGCTGCTGCTCCTTCTCCTCCTCCTGCCGCCTACTGCTAGGATTACTAGTACGACTACTAGTAGTAGTAGTGGTGGTAGTAGTAGTAGTAGTAGCAGTAGGAGGAGTAGTAGTGCTACTACTACCGCTACCACTACCACTACCGCTACCACTACCACCACAACCACCACTACCACCAATGCTGATGCGGTGACTGCTGGGTGTCAGAGCTGTTCTGGATGTAGTGCTCCACCAGATTTCTATCATGTTTCAGCTTAGCCCACTTCAAACCAAAGGTTGTGCTATCGCGTTGTTGAGCTTTCCAATATCGTCACATTCCCAAACTCGAAGTCCTGTTGCTGTGACCTTCCTTGACGAGAGCATAGTGACCTGGTAGTTGATAAACAGCACTTCAAGTGAAAGCGCAATGATACTGCTATGTAGGGAAGGTCCGGGCTCTGGCGTCATGTGCCTTGGTTTGTGGGATTCTCTGGTTCAGTTTTAGGGCTGGGAAGGGAGGATCTTGTGCATTTTCGTGGAGATTGGGTCAAGCCTTAAGCTTCCAGTTAGCCGCAAATTTGAACTTTAAACGGCGTAGAAGCTCTGAGCTCTGGATGAGCTTGCACTCCTCAACCCGAGACCTTGCGACATTGAAGGGGGGGGGGTCCGAAAATTGGTGGTTGCTTCTTCGGGAGCAGATTGAATTGACGGAGCCCCAATCAAGTTAGGTCTGCTTTCGGCTTCCTTGTTCTCTGAAGCTCCTGTATGATGATATCACCATCCCTCATAGAAGCCGCAACCCCACCTAAACCCGAAGCCCTAAGCCCCAATGCCCACATGAGCCCGACAACCGCCAAGTCCCTGAACCCTTCACCCCAAGACCCTAAAGCCCTAAAACCCTAAACCCTAAATCCTAAACCCTAAACCCAGCCTGCAGTTCTAAGGAGACGTGGCGGCCTTCAAGAGGCGTCGTTCCGTCGAGTTGATCCTTCAGCTGCACTAGGGAGAGGGGGGGTGTTTAGGGTTTATGCTTCATTCAGGGAGGTTTACACGTTGTTCTGTGTAAAGCTTAGTTGTCGTGCTCTGGGTTTTCAAGGGGCACGAGCAGCGACTTTTGACGCGCATGACCTTGGTCTTGCTGGCCAAAGCCGGCGATGGAATGTGAATGTGAGGCGCACACACCCGGTTCTTCCGAGCTTATGTAAGAAGAGGCTTCAGCATCGGGTGGGCTCCGAGTGGAAGACGCTTGCGGGGCTTCACAAAACCTGGAGCCGCTATATATCGATCTGGGATCCTGATCATGGGTCAGAGGGATCCCTAATTTATTGAATCTCAGAAGTTCCCGTCCATTCTTCCGAGCGGCTTCTAAAGGCTTGAAGCAAAGAGTGGCATCGGATGAAGTTTAAAACGCTACTTCAGTTGTGATTGAGATTTCGGGAAAGGGGGTTGGGGTGTTGGGTCCAGGGTTTCGGGTTTGGTGCCTATAATAATAATAATACTAATAAATAATAATAATAATAACAAAAATAATAATAAAGAAAAATAATAATAAGAAGAAGGCCATGCCCGGATCGGCTTCAGTTGCCGATCCCTGCAGTTGCCTGACGGGTGGCTCATCTGGCACGGATGCGTTCTTAGAGTTTAGGGTTTATGCAAACGCGGCATCAAAGAGAGTCCAGGCCTGTTGCGCGTCGCCCAGGATCCAGCATTCACTATGCTGCTATAAACCGGAGGCTTCATACTTGAAACGGGAGGCTTCGGCAGGAATCCACACTTTTGTGAGCTCCACACTGTTCTACTCATCCACGAGTCCGATCAACATTAGCATAAGGGATACCCCAACTGTAACTACCCACAGATAGGAGTGGTGTAGCTTGTCTTGGAATCCTCGTGGTCAGCTCCTTTATAGACTTCGAACTCCAAAATCTAAGCCTTGAGCCACTTCATTCGTTCACCTTCTTAGGAAGCACGGCAGAATTTCCATGATGGCCGCCATGGGTTGCCCCGCAGCACGGAGGGTTCAGAGTTGAGGACATCTCTTGGACTTTGCCACCGGGGTTAAGGGGTTTAGGGTTTCGGGTTTATATAGGGTTTAGGATCTTTTGTCTTGCATTGGTCTGCAGTTTGAAGCATGGACCCAAGTCAGCCTGGTCAGAGTTTGCCAGAGTTCAGCAGAGTGGGATCAGTGCATGCCATTCAAAGAGTTCATTGTACTGTTTAAGACCCTGTTTAAACATGTTGCAGGTTACATCACACCTGAGATCACCGGCAAGCTGCGGGGCCCTTGGCATCATGTCAACAGTCTCTTTAGATGTGAGAGCAACGGTGATTCTGAAGCATCGTTGACGTGTTGAGAGGCCTGGATTTTTGTCCCCATCCGCCGGCTTGAAGTTCGCAGACATCCCGAACGGCCTTGCCGCTGTCTCAAAGGTGCCCGTAGCAGGCTGGGCACAGATCGCCGCATACTTCGGCTTCGTGGAATTCAGCGGCGGCTTTGATGACTACAAGAGCGGAACTCCCGGTGACTATGGCTTCAAGGTGCTGACGTCCAGCGACCCTGCTGAGAAGACCAAAAAGCTGTCGGCCGAGCTGGCAAACGGACGCCTCGCCATGATGGCTATCATTGGCATGTTCTTCCAGGCATCAAGTGAATGATTGCAGCTGTTTGTTGCCATGTTGTTGATGCCACATACAAGTTCATGACGACAAGTCCAGTCGTGTGTTTGCTAGCATGCCTTCGTCATTGTTCACGACATGCAGCCCATGCTAAAAGTGCAACGTAGTTCGGATGTTGACGGAAGTTGAACCTACATCGTTGATGTTG